AAGAGAAGGGATAATTCTTAAACAGAGTGGGTTTTGTTCCACTTTAATAGAAGAAGTAGCCTAAAATGAAATACAGTTTAAATTGTGCAAACAATACCATCAGCAAAAAAGAAAATAAATTAAGGGAAATCAAGGATGCCAGTCAAGTATATAAAGCAAACCATTATACAGTATAAAAGACAATGCTTAAATATGTATTTGAAAATGGTTTCAAAGTTTTTCCAACACAACTGCATTACATTTAAAGGTTTAATTCTGATTAAATATATACAGAATCCCCTTTAAACCAATTACTGCAATGAAAAAACCCACTGATTCTGAAGCAGCTGTATTGTGTGATTTTGAGAGCGGACTCCCTAACCTGGAGGAAAACAGTTGATCACAGCGGGTCAGAAGTTCTGCCACTGGCCACTGCTCAACAACTGAAGAGGCTGTTCAGCGTAAAAAGTCTAAAACCCCTTTTCAAATGTAATCAATACCATAATGAATTATAACTTTATCAGTAGAAAACATTTAAAAAGTGATATCCATCTGGGTCTATTTAGAATCTATATCTTCACTATCGCTACCTATCTTCATTCAAGACCTGACATTTGATTGTTCTGAACTCTGAGCAGAAAGTTATATGCAATAGTGCAAAAAAAAAAAAATCTACTTTTTGTGCACCAAATGACTCTCCAAATCCAGATTTACTTTAATAAAGAAGCATTGACATCATTGTGCTGCACATAGCCTGTGCAAAAATCAGAAGTGTGAGAGGCGCAAAGGAGGTCCTCCTACTGCAGGCAGAGTATTACAGGGGGGGAGGATATACAACAGGTCACCCTACACAAAGGACAGAGAACAGCAGTGCCTGGTTTTCTTAACTCTAGGAAACCCATGCACAGAGGCACAGAACTGGAAAAACACACAGGACACCAAATGCATAGGAATACACATGCCTCTGGTGTTTAAAAAATATTTGTTAAGCTCGGAGTTCAGCTTTAACAATTTATTAGTGGATGCTGTATGCACTATATTTAAACACAGGCAGATGTCATCTAATCTCTTCTTCCAATTATTTGAAGCATGGATCAAAGATTGAGAAGACTAGGGAAACCGTACCCAAGTGTGAACTGAGAGTTAATTTATCTCCTAAAGAAGGATTTGCCTACCTAAATTAAATCATAAAAACGGATTACTGGAGTGCAAAATGATGACAATTAATCTAAAATCAAATGCAGCCCTCCAGAAATGGCAATTACCTTTGCTGCAACTTTAGTGATCAAACAGAGGTCCTTCTGGGCATCGTAGAAGAGTCAAACAAAATCTATTTCAAGGCTCACTTGTATTTTAAGACATCAATATTTTAATATCTGCCATATGTCATCTGCGTCAGTCAATGTTACCACACAGATACAACATCAATTTGCTAAAATGAGAATGCCAGAATGGAGAGAAAAGTTCCAGTGAAGTATTTATAAACTGGATCATTAGAATGACAACAAAAAGCAATTCTCAAGCAGTGGTCTAGAAAAGGCACAAACTCCATAGGGCTACTGCAGAACATTTGACCTGTATTGGCCAGATGTCAAAGGACACTTCACAGCCTTGCAGTTATATAGCTTTCAAAGTCTAAGTGCTTCCAATTCAAGTGCTTCCCACCAAAATGCATATAATGTGTTTTGATGCTTTGGCAACAGGTATTAACAAGTCTTGTTTAATATCCATTAACCCTATCCACTCTAATTTTAAAGAAATCCCCTGAAAGCACGCATCAAGACACGTCAACACACAATGGAAATGTCTCCAGACGACGCACTTGTTTAGTCCTACAAAAAAAAAAAAAAACACTTACACGCACCACTAAATGGGCCTTGATTAAAAAAAAAAAAAAAAAAAAAAAAAAAAAAAAAAAAAAAAAAACACCTGCTGCATTTTTTATACACTGAACTATACTGGAATGCAGCAAAATACATAAAACACTGGTATGCACCTAAAATGCATAAACAAAATGCACTGGAATGCACATGTCCCTCTTAAAAAAAAAAAAAAAAGAAAAAGAAAAGAGGGGAAACAGAATGCATCAAAAGCGTGCATGCGGAAATGCATCCGGACTGCGTTACTATGGTGTGAACCGGCCCTTAAAGATGATTGCCCTGGTGAACAATAGTTTACACTTTCCCTGCACTTTAAAGGGTTAGCAAGCCTTTAAAAAAAAAAATCCTATGCAGTCCATAAACACCATAATTTATTCGATTTTATTAATAACTTACTAGATTTAAAAATAAGCATTTTTGCTCTTTCCACACCTGAAGGGGTGTCCAACTTGTGGCCCAAGACAGCTATGAATGCGGCCCAATACAAAATCGAACAAAAAAAAAATTTCCGTAAAAATAAGTTTATACTTAGTGAACACATGCTGCCGAAGAAAAATTTTACAGTGTCTCTATACTTGACTTTTAAGTTTTATTTTACCAAGGAAAAATCTCCCACTGTTCACAATCCTGCCTTATTCATGTCATCAGTTTTTCAGCAGCACCTATATTTGTAAGCAACTATTTTCAAAATATCTGATATATATTTTTATATATAGTGATCGTTAACGTGATTTTTGCAACTTTTCCTGCTCATCAGCTATCATTATTGTTCGTGTATTTTCATGAGTAGCCCAAGACAATTCCCTCTACTTCCAATGTGTCCCAGGAAAGTTGAAAGGTTGGACACCCCTGCTGTAGGCCATTTGTACTGGGATTGAAGCGTTCCCCAAATGCTCTTTATATTTTTCAAAGCTCCATCCAATCTTCTTTCGAAGAAGGACCAGCCTGTAACAATACAGTGGCGACGGCAGTCCTTTTCCCAAGTCCCACACATGCAGTTTTCTCCTTATTTCAGCCGCTGAACTCATCTGTGTCGGCAAAAGACTACTTGCACAGGGCTGAGGAGAAGGATGGCCCTTGCGCCCCCTCCCCAAGGGGGTGCTGGTCCTATCTATTCCAGGCAGAGCTTTTTTGGGCCAGGCCACTCCTTACGCAAATGGCCTGCATGTTTAGAAAGAACATACTTTATATAAATGCATACTTTACAAATCTGATTAGTTTAAGGATATGAAAAGGGTGTTTCTGGACTTAAACAGTTTTTTTTCATATTTAAAAGGTGAACGAATCCTCTTAAAATTTTATCTAACGCCCCCATACACCCCCCCCACCCCAAAGACTGATTGACTTTTTAGAAAGATGTTTTGGAGGACAGAATAATCAGGAGTTGGCCAGTCTCTGCACAGAATTGGTACTGGAAGGTGCAGGGTGTGTACTGGAAAGGTTTTGCTAGCCTTTAGGGACTTTAAGAGATCCCCAGACTAGTAAAGTTAGTAGTTTCAGCTGTGGGCCCCTTCATTCTGAGTTTGCTATATCATGGTAGTGATTTTGGACATAAAATCTAGCACAACTGTAGAAATCTCCTCCCTGGCTAAAGGGGAGGTCATTGAGCAAGGACAAAACTGGCATAAAACCGCAAGACCGCTGCAAATGGTAACTGCAGGAGGAACTACTCCAAGCTGAAAGGCAGGTACAGTATGTAAAGCAAACATGCAACACTAGTGAAGCAGCACTAATTTCTACAGTGTGTTCACAGTTTCTGCAAAAAACTATGAAAAAAGGAAATCAATGGGGGCGTTTAACACTTATACAACAATTATAGTCTGCCATCCTAATGTTTAGTTGACAATAGAGTTTTCAGAGACTTGCTATGGTCCTGGAACTGAACAGCGCTCTGCAGCTAACAGACAGTACATAAGGGACTGGAGAGTATGCAAAGTCCACATTTCATGTAATCTTCGCCCCTTCATTGGGCGTACTCTCAAGAGGATTTCTCTGGACTTGTAAAGTGTTCTTCAGCTAGTACAAAACAAAATGTCAGGGGAGTGTCACAATCAGAGCCCCGTGCCCTAAAGTCATATTACAGGCAGGCTGTGCAAGCTTCGGTTCATAGGACTCAGGTACAGGTACAAGGCAGTGTCAAGAATTAGCAAAACGGATGACTGCATAGAGAGTTGAGTTCGGCAGCGCAATGACAAAGACTTAATTGAAGAAAATTGTATCTGGATAATTGAAAACTGCCCAGAAAAAAAAAAAAAATGGTTCAACTTTCCTCAACAGATAAAAGATGTTTATCCTCTTAGGACACTAGAAATAAAACCTGAAGAGTAGGAGGGGTTATACAGTATCTCTCCAGCTAACATTTTACTGCCAGTATCTAATTTGTCCTGTAGGTGGCAGTGTAACCAAGTTGTCTCTAAATTCATCCCTAACCCCCCCCAAAAAAAAAAAAGCCAGCAAAGAGTTCCACAAGGGCCAGCCAAGGTTTGGACAAAAGCACCAATCCTACCCACCACAAACAATACAGTAAATAATCACATGCTCGACAGGCTTGCTGATTTGGGTTAAATGAACAGCTAATATTGAAAAATAGTACAGCTTCATTACTACAGGTTACAACATTAAATTTGCAATACATACTACACAGTTTAAAATGACACTCAGAACTTTTTAGGCTACAAGCAAATAGCCACTATGTGAATTTGCAGTTCCCAAAGCAATCTGATTCCTGGGCAGCACTCATATACAAACAGTTACATACTGGCAGAGTGAAAAATAAATTGGACAAAGTTAACATTTCACAATAGTTTTTAAGCAATCTGTTCAAATGTCACATATTTTTCTTTCCTATTGCCCAGTTTCTTGCAAAAAAAAAAAAAAAAAAGCCAACATCCTTTAAATTATGAGGCCACTGCTCATATTCGTACTAGTACCCCAGGCCACTGAAATTGTTAGCATGAATGGCAGCCAACCAAGTATTTTCTTTGTAGATATACGTCATAGTGCTAAAAGGATGGGGAGGCTCTGAAATCTGAAAGTACACATGAATATACCTTGTAAAAAGTTAGAATCCATGCAGTGAAGTACAAATATGAAATGCCACTGAAAGGCCTCCTATGTCAGATATACACAAAGACTACTTACTGACATCGTCCTCGTGATACATAACGGAATGAAATGGAACGGTTCTGTCCTTAAAATATCTTTCTGCTGGTTCCACATAAAAGGTGCCTTGAGGAGTCTTAATAAAGCCTTCAAACCTCCCGTTCAATACAGATCCATGACTCGTAGTTCCTTGTTCCCCTGTTAAAACCAAAACAAATTAATTTCATCTTACAAAAAAAAAAAAAAATAAACACACACACACACAGCAAAAAAGGATGTGTTCTGGCAAGTTTACAACTTTCTCGGGGGAAGGGGGCGCGACGCCTGCAAGTACAAAGTGCAATAATGAAAAGGTACCTACACATACCTGCAGCAGTCTGCCAAAACTTCCTGCCACAGTCAAAGGCAGGGCTGATTAATGGGCAACGCTCCAATACTTCAGCATTTTCCATTAAGCCCACTCCTCACATTCCCACTGGCCCATTACAATGACGGGCAACCTGATATGACAATAAGAATGTATAGCAGGCAGAAATGGATGGACATGCATCAGAACCACCAGCAGGAGCTGAAATTATACCAGAACAGCTTAAGATTTGGCCTTGACAGGAAGGCTTGATTTGCTGCTGCAGGCATGTGTAGAAACTACTTCCTCAGGCTGAACAAAGGAAATAATAAAGGTGTATGTCAATCCTAAGGCTTCTAAGGGAAATATGATAGTCTTCAGATCTGCTGACCAGGAGATTATGTAAACTCTGAACTATCTAAAGACCATACCACTAACTGCTTATTTGGGTAAATCGTGATTAGATATGTTTGAAAGACTTGTCTGACCACCATTCTCCTCAGATGAACCAGAACCAGAGGTGTCTACAATGTACCTGACCTACTATGCACTATAGTCTTGAACAGACAGTCACATCATAAAACTGTCCAGCAAATAGGTTGGTGGGTGGTAAGTCGTGCTTCATCTAAATGCTCTAATTTAAATCTTCAATTAGGATTTGTTCTCCAGTGTGGTGAAGATTGAGCTTTGATGACCTCCTATAGTATATAGGTCTATATTGCGCATATGCTGAGCATATCATATGGAGCACAGTGTGGAGGTGGAAGGAGTAGGGGAATCAGCTGTGAGACCCCCACAACAGGAATGGTTTTACAGATGGAGGCCACCGACATTTTTTCCCTACTCATCTTTTCTGACTGTTTTTCACTAGTTTTGCATTTGGCTAGGGTCAGTGTCCCTACTGGTAGCATGAGGCAATACCTGGACCCTGCAGCAGTTGCACAGGCAGTCCAATTCCTCCAGGATGGCACATCAATACATGCCATTGCCAGAAGGTTTGCTGGGTCTTCCAGCACAGTTTCAAGAGCATGGAGGAGATTCCAGGAAACAGGGAGTTACTCTAGGAGAGCTGGATAGGGCCGTAGAAGGTCCTTAACCCATCAGCAGGACTGGTATCTGCTCCTTTGTTCAAGGAGGAACAGAATGAGCACTGCCAGAGCCCTACAAAATTACCTCCAGCAGGCCACTGATGTGAATATATCTAACCAAACAACCAGAAACAGACTTCATGAGGGTGGCCTGAGGGCCCAACATCCTCTAGTGGAACCTGTGCTCACTGCTCAGCACCATACAGCTCAATTGGCATTTGCCATTGAATACAATTGGCAGGTCAACCACTGGCACCCTGTGCTTTTCACAGATGAGAGCAGGTTCACCCTGAGCACATGTGACAGATGTGAAAGGGTCTGGAGAAGCCGTGGAAAACGTTATGCTGTCTGCAACATCGTTCAGCATGACCGTTTTAGTGGCGAGTCAGTGATGGTCTGGGGAGGCATATCCATGGAGGGACGCACAGACCTCTACAGGTTAGACAATGGCACCCAGACTGCCATTAGGTATTGGAATGAAATCCTTGGACCCATTGTAAGACCCTACGCTGGCATAGTGATTCCTGGGTTCCTCCTGGTGCATATCAATGCCTAGCCACATATGGGGAGAGTATGCAGGCAGTTCCTGAAGGATGAAGGAATTGAAACCACTGAATAGCCTCCATGCTCACCTGACCTAAATCCAATAGAACACCTCTGGAATATCATGTTTTGGGCATACCCAGGACACAATCTGTCATCTCATTAGGAGCATGCCCCAGCGTTGTCAGGCATGCATACAAGCACGTGGGGACCATACAAAACTACTGAGTACCATTCTAAGTTGCTGCAATGAAATGTCAACAAAATGGACTAGCCTGCTGCATCATTTTTTCTCTTTGATTTGCAGGGTGTCTTGGAAGTCAGTCCTCTGTAAGTTGATCATTTTCATTTCCATCAAACGATGGGGCATCCTTACATTCCTAACACATTACCCAGTTCATATCAGTATAGATATCCAGCATATTTTTCCCCATTGAGATCTATGTGTTTTCAAAGTGGTATGTGTTGTGTGTTTGGTACCTCAACTAGTTTCTCAATCTTTTTTACCTTGGAGGAGCCCCTGGCAAAAAGTTTGAGATCTTGGGAAACCCCTGAAAATGTTCGGATCTACGGCTCACAGGTGTGATCAGAGAGCTATTGATAAAATTTGTTTTAGAAATAGCATTAAATAATAGAATCAATATTAACAAGTACCTGTTCATTGCAAAACTTGCGCTTACTTTCTTCTGCACAGATGCTCAATTCTGGGTCAAACTTAAGAAACAGGAGGGCAGCAGGGCATAGCACAGGGGGCCAGGATGGCACATTAGATGAGGGGCAACAGGGCACATTATGGAGCACACAGCAGGGCACCTTACATGGGAACAGAGCATATGCGATTAGGGCACCTTACATAGGATCAGAGCACAGCAAATAGGATCAGGGCAAATGGCAGGGCAGCGGTCTTCTTCATTTGTAGATCTAAACAGGGAAGCGGATGTGTTGAGTCCTCTTCTGCCACACTGCTCCCCGTCAGCCCCTCCCTCCTATCCTGTCCATCCCAGATGATGTCACATACAAGCACCCGGGATGGACAGGAGGGGAGCAGGGGCCGGCGCAGAGCACTGCATAGCTACATAAGCACAGCCGCTTGCCTGTGTAGCTGTATATGAGTCAGCAGAGAGGATGTAATCTACCAGTCAGCAGCTTGTGACTGACCGGTAGATGGCCATTGAACCCTGGTTAAGAAACTCTGCTCTAAAATCGGATTACCCACTTAATATGTTGTTTTAAGCTATCAACTACATTTCCTAACTTTGGTAGGAATCCAGAATACAAAAGATACTTTAAATAAACAAAAGAAACTCAGTCAGGTATTCTACCACCACACTGCTAATACAAAATTGTGAAACTATGTGTGGCTTAGGGCTCTAGCTCACAGGCCACTTGAGCCCATTTATCGCAACTGAAGCCATATTTCCTCCGCTCAGGCAGCCCAAGTTGAGTTTTGTCTATCATATTTATGAACTGTCCATGCAGTGCTGTACTCGTGTATATATTGGTACTATTGTAAACATGAGTACAGCATAAAAGCACCTGCAAAAATAGTAAAAACTTATTTTGCAAGTGCTTCTACGTTGTAAGTGTGTGTACAATAGAAGCGCTGCATACGTGAGTACAGCAGTGCACAGACATTCATGTAAATGACAGGCTATACGCTTGCTGTGTGAGTGGAGGAAATTACAGCTTCAGTTAAGCTGAACAGGCTCAGATGGCCTGCATGCAAGGGCTTCAAAAAGCAGCAGACATTACACACAACTTACCAAAGAGTTGTCCACTGTATATATGAGAAGTATCATAATCTACAATTTCTCCCTCCATTTCTAGCTTGAAGTCAGGAGAGAATAGAGATGTATCCCTCTTCATTCGGAGGTTGAACTGCCTGTAAAATATAAAAGAACAAAAAAATAAAATTAAAAGAAGAAAAGCAAGAACAATTACACTTATTAAAGCATTTGCAAGTGCCATAAATTGCAACAAATTATCTATTAGGTCACCAAGATCATAGTTTATATAGGAGTACTGTGCCACCTGCTGCTTGGCGCACTAATGCACTTCCATTCTATGCACTCAACATATATGCAATTACATACCGCACAAATTGCAACATTCCTGGCAGACACATTCCAAAAGTACAAACATTGTGAAACATTTGTTATATCAGTATAAAGGGAGGCTTTACACTGCTCCACTGTGTTTTTGCTAAAGCACAGCTTACCCTCGGTTTCCACGCAGGTTAGCTGCACTTTCCCACAGACTTCTATGAGGTCCTGCAGTTTTGGTGCATTTCAGATAACGCACCAAAACTCCTGCATGACTCACCAAAAAAAAACGCACGACATCATAGAAGTCTATCCGAAAGTGCAGCTAACCCACACAACCCGTGGGTTAGCTGCACTTTGGTCAAAGCACAGAGAGACCGCATAGTGATCTTCCAATATCCAGTCATTCACAGTCCATGATTGCCCACTGTAACCTTGTTTTTTTCTGTTTAGGTGTTATTGATGGTTTTCCTTTGGCTTTTCTGCATGCAAATCCCATTTCCTTTAAGTGATGTCTTACAGTTCGGTCACAGACATTGACTCCAGTTTCTGCCCATTTGTTTTGTTGTGCATTTTCTGTTTTCAAGGCAAATGGCTTTAAGATTTTTATCTTGACACTTAGAAGTCTTCCTTGGTCTACCAGTACGCTTCACTTTTACAACCTTGCAATTTAATTTGTACTTGGTCCAGATTTTAGACACACCTGACTGGGAACAACCAACATCTTTTCCAACATTCCATGAGGATTTACCTTCTTGAAGACGTTTTAGAATCCTCTCCTTTGTTTCAAATGATATCTCTTGTGTTGGAGCCATGATTCATGTCAATCAGCTTGGTGCAACAGCTCACCAAGGTGTGCAAGCAATCTTTTTTTAACTGCAAACTAATTAGCACATGGAATCTGATGCAGATTTTTTGTTTTTGAACTGCAAAGTACATGGTGATTCCATAATGTTTTCCTCAGAATTGATTGATTCCATATTTTTTTCCTCTGCTTTATCTGCAAAAACAGTTTTTTTTTTTTTTGTTTTTTTTTAGTGTTTCTTAAAGCCAGAAGGTCGCAATGCTAAATGAAAATAGTTTTGAGACATGTCTGTGATTGTTTTTTTTCTAACTAATTAAATAATTGAATGAAAATTTTCCAAGAGTGGCGATTCCATACTTTTTGCCAGGGGTTGCATAAAATTGTCAAATCAACAGGTTTTGTAGGATTAAAAAAGAACGCACACACTTTTGTGCATTAATCAAAAATCATAAAGACTGCTAACACATCCTATTAACTTCAGTATGTTTCAGCTGCAACTGGGTGAGAACGTTAAAAAAATCAGTTTCCCTGCCTGTCACAAAGCTAAACCACTTCTACAACATCCATATCTCTGAAATTCAAATTCTAGCACTACGGTATAACGTGCATACTGAGTTAAAGGGTTATTCAACAACTCAACAGAGTTCAATATATCTCAAACATAATGACACTAGCAAAGAAATACGGAAGTACCATTTAGTAAAAAATTAGCATTTTGTGCTAGAGGTGCTTTCACACCATAAAAATAGACTGATATATGTGTTGCAATGTGCTTTTGCAGGCATTTTATTGTGAGTTGCATTTATATGCATTGGTGTGTTTTGAAGTGTGAATGAGGCACATAGAAAACCATTATTTTCTGTATGTCTTAAGTGGTTATTTTTTCTAAGTGGAGGAAAACGCAGCCCTTTAGGGCTGGTTCACATCACACCGACACATGAATCACACAGGAACCCGCTGTGCGTTTGTGTGCGATTCATGCTGCATGCAAAACGCAATGCATTTGCTAACTGCAGTGGGTGTTAATACAATGTTAACTACACCCCAAACACAGGTTCCAAAATGCAGTGTGTTTGCCCACACCAGATCACATGGTACTTTTGTACCATGCAATCCCATTGCAGTGCGTTTTAAAAAGTAGTGCATGCATTACTTTTGGTGTGATTTTTTCTCATTCAAAATGAATGGGCTTAAATTTCCCTACACAGAACCGCATGTGAATGACACAGAACAAAGAGCGCATTCCTTTACGATTCTTGTGCTGGTGTGGTGTAAACTGGCCCCAAGATCACTCAGGGGACATAGCCTGCCTGCAGATTGCTACACACTTTTTCAGCCTAGCAATGACCTTTTCAAGCTAATTGCACATTCCAAAAATCACAACAGTTCAAAGGATCCTTTTAAAGGAGAGTCCAAGATGGCAGAGGACAATTAGTTGAGAGCCTCCATTGTCTGGATTCATTATCTCATGCGGATGTCACACTGGTGTCAGCACCCTTGCATCCAAGTTGACATTAATGGGACTACCTGCACAGGGATGCAAGGAACACCTGTGCACACCCCTTCAGGCAAAAACGGTCCTCCATGGAAGTAACCCAAAAAAAGAAATGGGTGTCGCTCAGGTGAGAGCGAAAGTCTAGACTCCTAGTGAGTGTTGGCTGGATAAGGAGCTCGGCCAAGCTCCAAGCTGCAGCATGTCAGAAGTGATCTGTGAGCCGCACCTCAAACCGCAATCCCATGTGAAAGTGTGAATGGCCACCTCAACCCAGGCTCAGACTAGGCCACACCCCCAACACATTTCGCTCCACCCCTCAGAGCTTAATCATGGGAATGGGGACGTCCTCCATGGATGAAAGCTTCACTACACGCTGCATGAATAAGGCCTCATGAAACACTGACCAGTGTAATGCTAGGCATCCTTGGGCAGATCTCCTCTCAAACAAAACCTCACATACACTGGTATTTGCACTTATCATACAGCTAAGCATATTAACCATTTGTCTACAGGGCTCTTATACCCCCTTCCTGCCCAGGCCAATTTTCAGCTTTCAGCACTGTTGCACTTTGAATGACAATTGCGCGGTCATGCAGCACTGTACCCATATGAAATTTTTATAATTTTTTTCACACAAATAGGAGCTTTCCTTTGGTGATATTTAATCGCCGCTGGGTTATTTTTTGCGCTTTTAAAAAAAAAAAAAAAAAAAAAAAAAAAAAGCAAAAAAAAAAAATGTCTATTATAACATTTTGCAAAAAGGTAATTTTTTTCTGCTTCACTGATGTGTGTTGAGGAGGCGGCACTGATATGCAACAATGATGGGCACGGATAGGCAGCACAACTGGGCACTGGTGGGTGCCAGAGCTGGGCATTAATAATCAGTGCCCTGATGATCGGTGCCGATCCAACCTCTGACAATTGCCGGTTATTGGCAGTACTTTCCTCATGGAGCGAGATGTCGATTGAGAGAGTGAAGTTCCACTTTAAGGCCTCACACACACAGCAGCTATAAAAATCGGCTTCACAGGTGTTAACAGGCATAGGGAACCCCCCCCCCTCAAACTCCCCTCCATGTTAGCCTATGTGTCCATGCACACTATAGGTGTTTTCAGGAGTTTAGTGGCAGGGGGTTTACAGGCAGAAAAAAAAAAAAAAAAAAAAAATCACTTGTGCATTCAGGAAAGAAGCTTTTGACAATAAAAGCACTCTCAAAAGCTCCTTAAAACACACATTAATGTAAGGCGCATTCCCACGTTAACGTATTCTAATGGACAGAATTCTGGCTAACAGAATGCATTAATGTCATACTCAGGAACGTGCATTAACGTGTGTGAACATGTATTAATGCACATGCAAAACCCTGCTTCTTACCGCTGGTAACACATGGGGGGGGGGGGGGGGGGGGGGAGATTTACTAAAACTAGCGCACACAGAATCTAGTGCAGCTCTGTATAGAAACCAATCACCTTCCAGTTTTATTGTCAAAGCTTAAATGAACAAGCTGAAGTTGATTGGTTACCATGTAATACTGTACCAGATTTGTGTGAGTCTTAGTAAATCTCCCCATGGCTTTCTAAAGCCATTACAATTTTTATAAAACCTCCTAACACTTCATGCTTGTGGAACCTACTAGCTGGTTTTGCTTGATTAAATGCATGCAAACCAATGCCATTTGTACACAATGTGTGATTATATACCCAACAACTCAAACACTTGTAAAAGGCAGTATATTTTATAATATCCATTTTCCTCAAACGATTACAGAGGCAAAACAATTCTATTGCGGATTTAACTCTCCTACTGAATGCAATGAGCAAGAGATGATATTCATTAAGCTGGACCATTTCCTTGACCACCGTTCACTGCTTGTTGGCACTTGTATGCGAATCAACAATTGAGAGGTAACAACTGGAAAGTCAAGTGCAGTGCGCTAATGTGTTCTACTTCTTGCAAATCGCATCTAACGACAGCATTAAAATTGCCAGCTATGTTTTAGATGGTGTTAAGGTCAATCTTTCACTCTAAGCTGATAAATAGAAGCGGCATTGTATATAAACAAGCATACATCCATGTACTCACTGAGCGGCCTGGAAATACGGAATAATTTAAATAAAGGCAATTACAGAACTCTTTAAAACAGATCTACAGTACATGTATTGTGGACCTGTCTATTCTTGCTTATGTCCTGCAGTTACAGATTACAGGTACAAAGCTATGAGGTATGGTGTTCCGCCCCATAGAAGACCTCTTCACAGCAGGAAAATATTTCACAATCTACAGGCCATCAGCAACAGTAACACTCGGAGCTGCCATCTCCTCCCAGCTACACAGCATCCATCATATTTATACACAGGCTAGCACAGACTGTCAGAAGGGAAAAGCTGGAATGAGAATGTGTACAAATAGGTGCCAGGCAAATAATATTTAAGAGATTGGGTATGGCTTATTGATTTGAATGCAAAGGTCAATAAAACAAGCTTTTGGCAGTGTTATCAACACAAGAACAAGGCAGCCTCATGTTCAGTATGCCACAAGGTGCTGTAGTGGTGTCATACACCAATCAGCCATAGC